GGAACTGCAGCTATCGGTAACTACGTATAAGTAAACGATTTTGGTATACAAGTAGCTTTGTACCGACTATTAATTCACATTCAGTGAAGCCACTCGAATATCGAGAAAAGTCAGGATACTTTCTCTTATGTGATAACATTGCTGCGGTCGGGTGTTCTCTTCATATTCTGACACGAAGCTGTTTTCCCGACTTTCTACTGTGAGAGTATGGACAAAGCCATAGGGCTAGTGACACAGGGGTTATATATCAAATTTTCTACCTCAAATGCAGACATTTGAAATGACGCTGACGAGAGCTTGGACCCAGACACACTTTTCACTGTTGCATTCCTTGCGCAGCCATGAGGCAAGAGACATGGTTAAACTATTTCACAAGTCTTTGCTAGGCTATTTTCAGAGAAGCAGTCTCGTTTTATAATGCTGACATATTCGGATTTCCAGAAAAAATAACGGGATGCTCTTGCGAAAGCGGGGTAGTCTCCCCTTCTTTGTCAAATTATTGTCTGTTGGGTCGGTGAAAGCCTTTCTAAAGGTCACTATTTTTGGTCTTGGATCTCTGTAAGTCTCAAATTGTGCGTACGCAGAGTGAGACAGCTCATTTGCACATCTAGGTACGTTAACAGGAGACTCAAACTAGGTTTCGTTGAAAACACATGTCTCACCTAGTTGCTTCCAGAATGAAAGTAGCGGATCAGTGATGTTTATACACCAGACTTACATAGGATTTCGTGTGACCTGGTGTCAGCGAACACCCGTGAATTTGTGTTAACCGGCGTGATAACTCGGAAGTCTGAGGGAATAGTGAGGGTAGCCTCAAACCACATGAAATTGTCTGGTCGCAAAATTTTGACAAAACAGGCTTTCTCATGGCTCCAAATTCTTACTAATACTGGAGATGAACGTTTTCCATCTACGATGCCTGAGAAAAAATAGTCTACGCCTTCTTGCTTAAAAAGGAGCACTAAAAGGGACTGCTAAAGCCAATTTGACCTCAGAGCAATACCTATCCATTTTCTTGAACTGTCAGTGTACTTTTGATCTTCACGCGCTTTGCTCCTGTGCGCCGGCGACACACATTGCGGCGAAAGCAACCACGCCCGACACAATCATGCAAGCGTGCATGTATTCGTTTGTGGCTGAGACAGGTACCTATGCCCGTTCAAGCCCAGTTGATGGGTCTGCTCTGCCCTGATCTATGTGTCATTGCACCAGAATCAGGAGACAGGCTTCGGAAGGCCCGAAAGGCAGTGACATTTGCGCACTTGTTGATGCCACGACCGTAAACGGTTTTTAGCTGTGTGATTTTGATCACCTGTGTATAGACGATAACGTAGACCTCTGAACCCAATTCTTCGTTTTTATGTTGAGGATCGTCAAACCTACGCGTGGATCAAAGTTCCGTATCGGGAACACTAACGAAACAGTGTGTCCTCAGTGGTGGTCTCTTACGTAGTGATCAGAATAGGTATTCGACATCATTTGAGCTGCTTTAGCGATGGTTCATTTCCACGTGGGGGTCTTGTTGTTTCTCCAACGTTGTGTCACCATCTTTCGAAGTCCAGGTGCTCAAATGCTTTGCATGTACAGTAGTTAAGCGAAATGACCAACCCGTAGGTCTTAGTTATTAAGAAACCGGTTCTAAAATCACAAAGGAACTTGGCGAAGATCAAACAGATGATGTACTTATTGCTTTTCTACCCTCATTTCATCCAAACTGTATTACAGTTGCTGGGGTTTGAGCTGCTGCTTTTATCAAATTAATCGACGGTGATTTGGTGGCAAAAGCCGCGTGGGTAAATATGCACCCTCAGCCAAATTGCCGTGACGGTTGCACAAGTGTTGGCGCTGCGCTCCAACTTGCCGAGCAGAGCCGAACAATGCAATCACCCCATCGCCTCTTTCCTTGTTGCATAATGCCGTTAATATAATTTCTTCTCAGAATGAACGTATTCATAATACTGTTTCGCTCACCCCCCCCCCCGGGTTAATTGACTGTTTGAGAATGAGAACTCACGCCCCATCTATTTCGCTACTGTATCTCACAGCGAGACAACACTCTTGATTGTTCGACTGAACATGCTAAACTGCCAACGCTAACATGAAGTAGCATTAGCCGCCCAATGAGGTAAACAAAGTCTGTGGAATCACCCAGTAATTCCCAAAAATCCATTGCCTAGTTTATTCGACTTCAAAACTAGTTCTAGATTAATTCCGTGCTCAGTGTTTTTGCTGATTTGCTTCGACTCCGGCATGTTGGGAACAAACGAACTAGCAAAATTGCGGTTGGCAACCCGGCCATTTGCATGCTCAAAGTGGAACAGCATTCCCCGAGGATCAACACTAAAACAGCTATTTTGGCCGCAGACCGTATTTGTTAACCATCTATTTGAGACCAACTAAAAACAGTGTAGTTTTTCTTTATGCTGAAATGTATGCAGTGAGCCTACAAATACGAGCTGCATGCGTAAGAGCTCACAAAGGAAAACCGTCATTAATACAACTAACTGCACAACTAACAACAGCATCTCACTCCGAGAATGTTAATCTCCTCCAAGAGACATCAACCAACTGGGGAAATTCGTTTGAGGTAGTCAACAAGAGGATTTTCCTACCATTGCCTGATTCAGATTCACAGAGCTGTAAGACGATTGGTGCAATGACATCCAGTGAATAGGGCGAAATAGAATTAGTCTAACAACACCAACGTCTGCGCCATGTACTTCTCAAATCAATCCATCTTGCCGCATTGTCAAGTCCGAAACAGGGGACAGAAACGTAGTCAAAATAGTGGGACTTGATTGACTGTAGTTGTTGGTGTTCGATCCACTGTCACAGGTACGTATCGCTAAAGCTCAAAAGATTCTGTGTACTGCTCCGAAGGTTTTCGTCAAGCTAACGGCACGCATGTAGACAGTGGAGATGATGAACTAACCACACAGCTCAAGGCAGCCCTCGTGAATACCGTCGTCGCGCTCAACCGAATGAAACCCTATGATATGGAGGGTATTGTTTCTTGAATAAGGTGGGGATATCATTTACTTACAACTCGCATAATGAAAGCTCGAAGGAAGATATAGAGCTTACCAAATCAAAATATGGTAAAGTGTGATTGGGAATGTTGTATTGCCTCAAAACCACGCAAAATATCCTTAAACTTTCCAGAGGATAGTTGTGTGCTAACAGCATGATGTGCCCAAAAGACCAGAAGTGCTAAAAGCTTTGAGCATCTGCGCAGATAACAAATGTACAGACCTCTTTGTCGTGCACACGGTTCTCCCATTGTTTAAAATTGTAAACATATGTTGTTTGCACTTAGCCAAGCACTAATCCGATAGTGAGATTTCCGGCTTCCCCAGCTTCGAACTCCGTTCCGGGACGGGTCGCTCGAAAACTGTTTTTGGACATGCTGCTACCCTGGTACCTCTGCGAGTGATGATTGCTCCAGACTGAATCCTCAAAGCAGCCAAATGCAATTCCTAAATTCGCTTCGCTATCAGGGATCAGCAGTAGGGACAGCTTCCTACCCAGAGTGGAAATTCATGCGGAACGCCAGCCAACGTCCATATAGCGGAATACTTGCTGCTTCATGTTCAGTCACCGTGCAACCCGGCAGAAAGCAAACGTTTTAGAGATGTACAATGGAGATTTTATCCCGTCAGTGAAGGCATCTTATGCTGAAATACTCCTGTTTGATGGAAAGCGAGTTGCCGTACTAAGCTGACATAAATTCACCTTGGAACAAAAATAAGACGCAGTTTTTCTACAAACAGTAGTACACGAACATTAGTGTGTTTTGGCCAGGAAAGGCCCTGAATCGAGCAAGTATCTATCAAACTGATGTGGATTCGTACACACCCATGCACGCGTGGTTGTTAAAGGGCTTGGGCAATAACTGAGAATACCTCTGACTCACTGCCTTGTTGATTGTGAACTCAGATGAGATAATTAAGCGGATCTGTGGTCGGGCATTAATCCCAAAGACTTCGATGGGGCTTCGGTGGCCATATGCACATATCACCCTCTAGAACACTGAGCTTTTGATGGGCGGAACAAGGCAGAAGAAAATGCCACAGCCACAAATCACCTGCCTTTTGTGCGCGCCGAATAGGAGGTCCTCCATTTAAGCAACACCATTCGGGAACCCACTCGATCTGTTACACAAAGGCTCTTACTCCTTTTCCAAATGTGGAGTATCGAAATGTCCGGCTCACATCCTACGGTCTAGTCCGCGTAAGTACGCGTCGGTGTGTTCAATTTTTCGGAGCAGCTCAAGCTCAGAGCTTCATGTTCATGTGATTAATAATCTCATGGAGAAGTCATTGACCTAAATTGTGGAGAACGAGGGCTGCCATATTTATCGGAAATACCGCTTATATCCTGTATCAAACAAAGAAATACAAATCCCACACTGATAAAAAACACTCGGGGTGCCTCAGAAGCGTCTCAGGAAGCTGGAATCCAAAGAAGATTATGCAACATCCGACGAGTTGTTCTACCTGTGGAAAACCCAATAAGTTGGGCTGGCTGAAAATCAATCGATCGTTCGGCTGTAACACCCTTTCAACGCCTAGCTCACTTACCCCCCAAAAAGAAGCACAAGGGCTGAGATATCAGGTTGCCCAAGCCTAATGGGAGCAGTCGAGAGAGGAGAGGGGGGTTGGTTCGTACCACGGACCTTCTGACCAATAAGCTAAGTTCACCAAGGTACAGACTAATACCTAGATCATAAATCAGTCACGTATCCCAGTACTTCCAACTAAACACTATTTGATCAGCTAGTCAGATCTTCAGGAAGAGAAGCCCATTTGCAATAATAAATAGCAAAATGAATAAACAGGGTTCATTGGGAATGATGTTGGGAAAACACTGAATGGGATAATCTAGAGATGGAGGAGAAAAAGCACGTGTCCGTTGAAAAAATAGCAAACACTGGCTGGTATCCAAGAGATCAACAATGAGCGCCAATTCACTTCTTTCGAGAGGCTGGCCTTTCGAGTTCATCAATGTACACCTTCAAACCTGAAACAAAAAAAAGGCAGTGGTTGCCGGTACAGTGAACCAGCTTCACAAAAAAAATCGTTCAGCTGTAGCACCCTTTCGGTGCCAAGCTGCCATGCTATCCAAAGGAAACACGAGGGCTGGAATACTGCCAGGTTGCTCAAACCTAGACAGGAGAAGTCGAGAGGAACAGGTCGGGTTCGAACCACGGAAATTCCGGTCATTAAATTCGCGCCCTAACCACTTGGTCCAGCTCGCCCCCAATTAGCTTAACAAACCAGGTCCAAGTATCACTCGGCGAAAAGTACAAGCGTTACACTCCAGAGTTTGTTTCACTCAAAAGTGTTGCTTTATGGAGGGGAGTTGATCGTTAAGCACAGCAACACAGAATCAGCCAAAACTCGCCAAATCTGGATTTTTTCCCGAAAGGGTTTCATTCAGACAGGCTTCCGATGAACGTGAGATGATTGCACAGAATGGTACTGAAAACACCTTTTTTCGTTTTCATACACCTTACCGGTGAGAACAACAATGTTTGATAATCTGGGAATAAGAAAATTGCATCACAGAAATAATCACTTGAATTTATTTTCAGCCGTTAGCGCAGGAAAGTTGCAGTATTCTGATTGGACCAACCGGGATGGATGGTGACCGAAAGCATGCGCACAAAAAAACTTTGTCCGCACAAAAACCTTTTGAGTATACTTGAGTCCAACTTCCAAATAACTTCAACCTCAAACCTCACTAGTTCCTGTGAGTAGTACGTATTCGGGGAGTTATCTTCAGCCCACCTAGTTAGTCAACTCCGGTGTCTTCGGTCGGGTACATATACGGACAGAACCATCCACGGATTTGTTGCGAGGTAATAAACACAGATTTGTATAGGTCGTGTATTGTTGCATTATTATTCTGAAGGGGCATAAAACACCCCACTTGAGAATAACTTGAACAAGTGATTTACGACATGCCAAGAAGTAAGCACAATAAACTTGCGTTTGGAAAACCAAAGTTTGATCACCGCCGGAAATTGACCGCCGGTCATAATTACTCTATATATCTGTTTTCCCAACGCCAATTTGGGGTAGCTCCGCATTTGTACCAAAGAAACATGTGCTTAGATCCAGAAACTGATAAAGGTAATTTCACTATGAACAGTCGGCCGCAGTACTGCTGAGAGACTCACGGGTACGATACGCAACTAGTTGTTGATTTCCTGGTCAATAAATTGAGAAAAAAAACGTCAGAGAAAGACTGACGAAGAGATGTCCACGAATTCAGGCTGGGCATAAAAAGCCATGGGATTTTGAGATTTGTTACCTACGACTTGTGATTTCTAAAATGAACCACGGGCTTCAGATATTTCCCTGCGTTACTCCGGGCATTCGTTTGCCTGAAAAGAAAAACTTCTAGAACTAAAAAGGAGTTGCTAATTTATATTTATGTATGTTAAGGCCATTCACAGTCTGTTTTCGCATATCCTAGTGAAAACGGCGTGGGAGGGGAATCTTATTACTCAGCCTCTACAATGAGAAACACTGTCAAGGAGGTGGTATGTGACATCCTCACAAAGAAGAACCGGATGTGAGGCTGACTCAACAAGTGGAACTCAGGGGTTTCAGTCAAATGACAGTGATAATATTCGGGAGTGATCAAAAATGCGAACATTTAAGTGTAGCTGGGTATCAGCAAGAACTGTGTCTTGATCCCTTTGCAAGTTTTCCTCATATCAATCATGCCAAAATAAATAACTACGAAAATCACCGCCTAATCGGCCACAGTTGACAGCGGTGTAGGTTCTCCACGAGTGATGCCGTCATCAAAGAGTAATGGGGTTACACGTACACTTGTTGGAAGCTCTGCTCTGAGTGTGCATGCACCGTTGTTTTTATCAGCCTGCTGAAAACAATTGGTCAGTGGTTATCGATTGTAAAAGGACGTGCGTTGTTAAGACAATTAAAGAATAGTACATAGCATAGTTCTTCACTGAATTCCGGGCTTTTATTCTTATCATCATCATTTAATGACTATTCTGAATACGATTTGAGTAATCGAGTGGTATACGTGTCAGACACACAGTAGCTATCCAGGACTAGACACCCCCTAGGTGATCGAAAGTTAGGTCCATTTAAGAAAGTCTTTGTGGTTGCGATTTATTTTCTCCACTGTGTTTGTTTAGCGTGACTAGTTAACAGCAAATCCTAGCCATATTGGCGGAATATATGCAATGCGATGTTTTCAGGTATTTGGAGAATGTGAGAAGTGTGTACTGTTAGGCTCAAGGAATTCGTTTCACAACAGGGGTTGCAGTGGAAATTGCCCACGTTTGAGTGCATTTTCCATTGGATAAGGAGTTTCGTCGTTTTAGAGTAGTTGAGTAGGTCCATGATCAATTCTCACACGACAGGTTAACGGTCAGCTCAGATGCGAGCACCATTAGTCGAAGCAAGCAGTTGCTTCTCGTTACTGGATGTTTTCCTTGCTGTAAGGTATGGCCATAGCCCTGTGAAACTTTCGATAATTAACTGGACAGCACGCTGGTATAAAAGCCCGGCTGCATGTTTCAATACTGATGACACAAAAATAAGGCTGACCAGAGTGCAAAGCGATGGACCCTCTTTAGAATGACCGCCGACTTTTGAGTTGCGTTCACATTCGATCGGGTTTACACCAGCCTCTTATTGCCCAAAGTACTAACAAACAAAACAGGTGCTTCTTGTGCTGTTGCTGTTACTCGTTGCTGTGCGATTCTGTACTAAGTAAATATACCCAGCAAAACGCCAGCAACTCCACCTAATTTCCTCCAACATTTCAATCACCTTCGACCTGAATTCATCGAATTCGGAACGGGAACTGTTTAACGCACGATACACCTGTTTCTTCAACAAGTTCTTCAATGAAAATGGATCATCATGACAGACGAGCACCCGAAGAGTGAAATGCTGAATGATCCATCCTGATTACAGCGTTGCATGGCCGAATAATTCGAGTGGATGTCGGGACAACAACCCAACAGCAGAAAACCATACAAGGAGCCACACTCGCCCAACCGACAGAAAATTATCTGGTACCAATGCCAGATCAGTGATGCTCATCTGACTCCGAGAGCCAAATGTCACAGGCCTTACTGCAACGGCAAGTATTTATATCGATAGAAACAAAATTGAGTAGGTGGAAGCGAAACTGAACTTGTGAATAGGTTAGCTCCCAGGCGTCTGTACAAGGTATTGAGCGTGAAGCACCAGAAGTATCGAAGAGGAGGCTTCTACAAGCGGCATGCAACGCAATGACACAAATATCTTAATTACACTAGACATCAACCCCAATGCACAGGATGGCTGAAACACTTGTCCGGTCATTCTTGAAATTCCGGAAAACGAACGGAGCTTCTACATACGGATTGGGCAGCAGGTAATTTATTGCCATGAATTGGTTGATGCAAGATTCGGCGTTGAATAGTTCAATACGGACGGTCCAGATGATCCCACATGGCGGTGACATGATGTTTGAAAATACAAGCTTACAGACAAAGGGTATGTTAGCCACTGTGTAGAGATTTTCATCTGCTTTTTGCTCAGTTGAGTCGAAACTCATGGCTTTACACTCCAACACCTTCACATCGGAAACCAGAGTTGGTTTCATAGTATGCCGACGTGGTAACACTGCAATAAATTTGGTATACCCCCCAAACCCCTTCTAACTATTCATCAAGGTAAAAAACGCTTAGGACATCAGATGGCAAACAGTTCCCCCCTAAGAAGGGCGGTTTGATAATTTTGATCAACTAGAGGTGGAACAAACCTGAGGTTAACATCACTGGTAACCATATCATATTTGAACGGTACATTTTATGGCACGTCCTAACGGGAAACCTCTTCAGAGCTGATGGATCGCGGCTTTATTAGCATTTCGCACACCCAGTAATGATATTTCCTCTATCAACTAAAAAGATCAAGCAGGATATCCTGTATGTTTTGGCAACTGAGACTCCAATAGCACTTCGGTCGATATCCAGCAAATACTTTTTGAGTAATCACACCAGAGATATGATTCTTCTCCATATATAAGTGTATGCTGGAAACTACAGATGATCTTTTCTCCACCACGAAAAGGAGAGAAACAACGAAAGAATACTTCTTGCCAAGGTGCCGCAGGCTAGTGGTTCGGTATGAACAACGACGTTCAAAATATTAGTAAGTTGCTACTCACACTAACCAGCTGTTCACGCAGTCCGCTGCCTCTCAACAACACAGAACCGACTGACATCCAACGGGATTTCAATCATTCGTACTCAAGCGGAACGGACACACCTGCTTGCATCTAATTAATTCGTCACGGAAAAGCCATATACACTTGACGCGGGCGGTGATATATAACCACACATAAAAAAGGCAGCAATATGGTAACAAAGCGTAATGCGATTACACAAGCTAAACGAAAAACAGAAGTCATTACACCACACGATGGGACAATTAACCACACATTTATTCCAATATACATCGACGAGGGGGGGGGCTGGTACGTTTTGCCTCAGGCTGAGCGTGCAGAAACTAAGTTGTTTTTCGGAAAGTTTGCTTGGGCAACGTGGAAGTTCTATTCAAAGTGTAGACTGTTGTTTCGGAGACCACTAAATAACACAAACTATATGAAAGATGGTTGTGAAATCTGCCGGTTATTTGTGCCCAGGTACTATCGGCAAAAATCTGGAACAATTGTTATAATTCAAAGAGGATGCTATACAACTGAGATGTTTTTGTTAGGACCTGTTTATTGACGTAGAAGTTTGGTAGTTTCCTCTAATGTCTCATGAGTGGAAAAAATAACAGATAGTCGTCTTTCAAACCGACAAGAGTTCGGCAAATTTCCTGTTTGTCCAAAGCATTTAGTCTTAATGTATAGTGCGTCCGAACAGCCGGATATTCGTGTTCAGCCGATCACCAGTGTATCATTTAAAAGCAAGATGGCCCAAGTGGTTAGACTGCGGATTTACTGACTGAAAGGTCCGTGATTCGAACCCCACCTCTGCTTCTCAACTTCCCCTGCGTGGGCTTGGGTAACCTAACAATATCCCTCATGCTTCCTTCGGGTGGCATGGCAGTTAGGAACCGAAAGGGTGCTACAGCTGAATGAACGAGTTTTTAAGAGCCTGCGAGCATAAAAAATCTAGAACAAGAAACGCACTTATTTTGGCACCTCGGACCTAGCGAGAGTCTCAACAGTGCCGGAGGATCTGTGCAAAACGTTACGACCCACAATATGACACCTCTATTGCAATGTATATTCAGCGCCCTCTTGAGAGGAGGAACATAAGCCGCAGCGAAGAGAGTAGAATAGGGTCTTCCAATCATGTTCTGGTTAAAATGTCACTTGGTAGAAGGTTAGCTGGTTTCACCTTATAGCCACAGGGTCAGTGTCATGGAATTTCAGTTATGAAAACTCATTGTCACAAGGGACTTGCCGACAAACGATCAAAACTGTCAACTTTGAATGCGTAAAATGAGTCACGGACAGCATTGACGAAAAGGCATGTGGGTTGCTCAATAAAAGGCTTACTGAGTACTCAATTCGTAAAATAATTCGTGACAGAAGAGCCAACAACTTCTGACAATTGCACCCCCCCAGAGCAAAAATGCTAACCGTAAGCTATATCGTCGTCTTTTACTGAACCCGCTTCGTTAGGTTCCGCAAACGGCATGACGATCGGGTTGGTTGCCATGCAGTTAACGACAATGAAAGCTTGTTGCATTAATCCATAGCTGATAAAGTTGCCTACTGTGTAGATGTTTCAGCCTGTATACACCATAGACGTCAGTAAGCATCCATGACAGCGAAAGCCAGCACAAGATACGACAGCTGACAGCAGAAGGCTCAATTCAAATAAAATTTCTTCAAAAAAGCAAATCGATTCGACTTCTTTGTACTCAAAATTTTGGTATATAGAAGATGCTCCGTCCGACTGGTCGAAGTCATAAACTGCTGGATATTTTTGCAAATGAAACCAAACTACGTTCGACATATCGACTTCCTTACTGCCCTCCAAGTGATCTCAACAGCCTGGATTTCCAGCAAAACGACACGTGACCGCGGCGAAAATGAAACGATATCTCGGTCGGGGAATTGGCTTCGAACGCGAAGGATGCTGAAGCCAATCAGACGCCAGATAGTAAAGCAACTGAACTCATTGAGAACGTGTGAAGGGATTGGCCGATTTGAAAAGAGTGCTACCTCGAGATCAAGGATAGGAACCATCTCGTCAAAACTTGCAATGTTTGAGGAATGAAGTGGGTGGGCTGCTCACTCTTCTATTTAAAACATATCAGCATATTCTTTCAGGTGATAAACTAGTGAGAGTGCGCCTATCACCAATTGTACCCCTCGGTAATAGGAACAAGAGAACCATAGGCACAAATATGAGAAAAGTCAATTTTCTGGTATGTACACAAGCGCTGCTTTCTCTTATGAACTCAAGTATCGTGCACAAGAGATCAATAAGCCATCATCTACGCAACAGCGACGAACGGCCAATCAAACAAGGTATCCCAAATATAACGGGTAACACACTCTAGTGATTTCTGCATGAAATGCTCTTTCTGGAACCTGTTCTCTTGCACCCATCGAAACTACGCACTACCCATACACTCATCTTTGTATATATCAATGAAAATACTTGAAACCACACACTGAGGAAGTGGGTGAACGCTCGAACTGAAATACCTTCATTTTATGGCCGATAGAGATATCCGTGTCAACTGCCTATCAGCTGGGTGGTACATCAACACGTTTAGTTCGCCTGGTTTCAACAGGGAGAGGCTCACCTAAATGACTTTCTGAACGTAGCGCTTCCATTGTTCGTTCGAACTGAACCTTTTCAAGATTGTATCGCAGTGCATAGGTCTGTAGCAAATTTTCACGATCCACCCGGAGTGCTGCTTGTCCAGGAAGATTGCAAATTGTGTTCACCATCTGGACGGCGATCCCGATGGCTTAAAAGGGGAAAATACACGGAAACTATAGTTCCGAAAAGCACAGCTTCGGTGCGCAGTGCAGGGACCGGAGCCAATGTTACTAATATTAGAATCAGTTTGTTAATAGATAAATGTTGTGTAGATGAAACAGCACCAGTACAAACAGCTTGTTTGTTTCTTAACTACGGTCCCAGCCCCTAGAGAGATTGTTTCCAAGAACAGAGACCAGTGAAGACCGAATACAGTTGCATTCCGACAGTTCCGGTGCCAAATTACGGGGCTTCCAAAGAGATAACGGAAGAACAAAGATGGTTCATTGATCTAGGTAATAGTCATATGAATGGTTGTACCAGTCCTACTGAGTGTCATAGATGCACATCTATGCTGCAGCATTTGGGTATGCCATGGTAATTTTGTTCCATCCCAGGATGGCCGCGTCAACCATCTCCGGGGTGGAAGTTGCAACAGAGATGGGGACTTGTCCCTTAAAATCGTGTGCTACTGTTGTAGTAGGCCGGCAGTCACTCGCTTCCTTGCGGTCAGGCTTTTGAATCAAAGGCTTTGGTTGAGGGTTCTAATAGTCCTCGTGTCTAAGTGTAAACTCCCTGTTAGTAGCCTAGACCGCGTGCAAACATGAACCTTGCAGCCGAAAATACTCTACTGTCACAGTGGCTGTCATATTGACTTGGCCGCTTCAATCGCTGCATGCAGCAGGGTAGGTAAGCTAAAAATGCTATTTCTAACGCCCACCTTCTTACATTTTTATACATTCCGTCTTCTAACCTACCCTACTTTAAGTTGAATACCCTAATTAGGGGCCCCAACACCAGAACTGACCGCTTTAATTCATCAAATCCGGCTTCTGCGAATCCGTCCTTAATAAAATTCCAAGACACCTCGAGAATGCGAGTATGACCTCGGGAGTTGCGCAGGCAATTGCAGCTGAATAGGCCGAAATGGGTGTTGCGTCCAGCCATCAAACGGAAACGTTTCTATTTAACGGAATACATGTTGAAAGTCACCCCTGTGCAGTCCGTCTGTCGTCTGTAATGTCCGTCACCCATCCCTGTTTATTAAGCATGATTAAACTCTGACGGACTGTACTTCCGAATCTGCGAAGAACCGTTTCTACGACGCTCCATGTGTTCGCTTACAACGGGCTGAAATCTCAGACATCGTTTTAGTTGCTGGTGACACGAACGCTCTATTAGGTGGATTAGGAGGTGCTAAAGCCTAATGGGGCGTTCGTCTTGCGTTACATGCGAAAAACAATTAACAGCACCAACTGTAGGAGAGTGCTCCCTAGAAATTTCTGCATTGTAGTACCGACCTCCAGAATACCGAAAGTCCTTTGACCACCTGATGTCCGCCGGCCATCATGATCATCATCATCGTCACCATAACATCAGTGGCCGACACTGATACCTCGCGGCCGTACGACGATGATTTATTTGAAAGCCTTACAGTGAACAAAATAATAAAACTGGACGGGGAAGGGAACTAGTGCCAGTCTTCCACAAACATTATCAGACGTCCACATCGCCGAAAATGCATTAAAGTAATCTGGATAGAAACTGACAGCAAGAACGCCGTTGACATCGATTGACAATCATATCTTGCAGCGTCTCTGAATAGGTGCATTGAATATCATGCGGTCCCCATCCCGGAAAGAGAGTCCCACCGATATATATATATATATATATAAAGGTACTCCACTTTAGAACAAAACCACGGCCATTTTCAACGAGACAACTGAAACAGAATTACATATCAGCTACTGGTTCCCACTAGCGAAATATAGAGTGTGCTCAAAACGTAGCCACTGAGGCAGCCTTGGTATTTGATTAAAAAACGAAAAACCAGCCACGCTGAAATACGTAAACTTTCGTGCCAAGAATAATAGAAATCACATGGAGACTACACTTCTCAGTAGACTTATTTTTGGCCAGACCTATGGAAATAAACAAATATGCGAAAATAGTGCATGAAACTCAATAACAGGATGCGCTTCTGGCAAGCACGGGGCAGATGTTTCCTTTGATTAGAATTTCTCTCGAGATAGACTATCGCTTCGAGGCAGGAACACTGAGAAAAACATAGAACTGACAAAGCAGAGACAATAAAACCAATTCTGTGTTCTTTTGGCCACGCCAACTCACCTGTGCCTAGTTTGGTTACGCGATTTACCAGACCGAACTGCAATGCTTCCGAAGCCGTTAAACTTCGGCCAGTCAACGTGAGATCCAGCGCTCTGGACAGTCCGATTAGGGCGGGCAACCGTATCGCGCCCATGTCCATCATGGGCATACCTAAAACCAAGACCGATGACATAAATATTATTCGACCGAAGTAGAGAAGCGATGTAGTAGTTAGAAGAAATAATGTTTGGAAAATATGAAACGATGGTGTTTGTCAGTCAGAAAGATTTCTGAAGGAAATAGGAATCTGTCGACCCAATCTATTAGGATGCATCGGCTGTCTCATGACCAATAAACCATCACGTCTCAAAAGAACACCGTTAGCCCAGATTGTGGGACTTATACTTTTCTGTTTACAAAGTCCAATTCAAAATAGACGAGAGAACTTGTAACTACATAGTAATTCGGATCAAATGATGACTAGGCACAGAAACAAGCCCAGATACGGGAATGCGACAAAAACTGCTTACTGTCGACATCGGTGTGTATCCGGTGGGCTGTACCCACGTTTTCTTGTGAAAAATACCAGCGTGGGAGCAAAATCACGCTGCCATTCATCCCCAAGTTCACGATTCCGTATAAGTAACTGGTTGCTAACAAAACAAGTAACTTGGCAACCCAGTGTCGAAGTATTTCGACCTCGTGGGTCCTTCCATCCAGTACGGTAGGGAACGTCAACGCAAAACACAGGCAATTCGGAGATGTTTTTAAATTCAGATGTCTCAAACTAACAAGTCGCCTCCTAATTATTAAGTAATAATGACTGTGTGGAAATCTAACGGTGTTTGTGCATACACAACGTTTATACTTTTATTAAAGACATTGTCATTTGCCGTGGATAGTCAACACGCTACCTTGCTTAGATTTTGGGTTCGTTCAGCTAACGACCAGCGAATAAACTGAAGATCATTCACATGGGTCCAAGAAGTAATTTCAGTGTCTCAGGTGTGCCTTTGTTGAGGAACAGGGGGAATAACACAAAAAGCATCATTGTGACAATGTCGGAGAAAAATGCTTCTGCGGTTTCCCTATGATTTTATGGTTCTTGTGATTTGACAACAAAAGTCAATCATTCCATACAATTAGGCGAGGCAGAATCTATTCCCGAAATTTGCCGACGCCCACGCCTATTGAACATCGTCACAAATGACAAATCGTCCCCAAATGTGCCCAGATGGTAATAAAGGACACTGGTTGGAGATGGATTATTGTACTGAAATTCTACTGCTTTTTTTGAAGAAGTCTACTTAGGCGTTCTTGAAGATTAAGACGCAATATCAGGCTGACGTAAATGGGTAAGCGTTTCAAAACCGGTAATTAAGCCCAGGTTTCTCCGACTTTGCGTCCATATTGGTCTAATACAAGTCATGTATTGGTTCTGCCACGCGGCTTTGCTTTGGACGCTTAGCCCTGAACACAGTTCAAGGAATTCTAACGCATGTCAAGCAGACGCAGGAATATATAAAATGATGTGACCCAGGATATTGCCACCATAAAAACATCGTAATGGGCATCGCGGGAAAGAAGCAGACAGGATGCATGATAGTTCTAACTAGAAGATATCGTGAGGGTCAATTGTCTGGGGAGATGTATTCAATTGGCATACCAAACGCAGGTGCACACCACACACACGGCAGTTATCTGGATTTCAGAGTTAAACAGCCTGCATATTTGGACACACACCAAGGTCGTTCTCCGGCAAACATAAGAGCGCTGTTTCACCAAAGAATCTAGCTGAGTTAACCAGATTATGGTCTCAATACTGCCTACCTGGCCTATAAGGATGTTGGAAAACATCGGTGCAAAAGTTTGAGAAATGTAAGATTGCGATAATCGTTGCGTGCAATGCAACGTGAGTTAAAGGTCACAAGCGAAGTGACCTTAATCGTAGCTAGAAAAGACGCGAAATTATGCCCCACACAACGTGGCACGGGCTGCAATAGTTCGACAATAAGTAGGAGGGTCACGCAACATGATGGCGACCGCTCCGACCATGAAAAGAACGTCCAACAGTATGCACAGTACACAGAATGCTGCAATTTAAGCATACAAAGGTCAGCCTCTCATAGAAATTTGTGAATTCAGCACAAATACTGAAAGATTGCCGGGTAACTTCCCTAACCAGGGCATCAAAATTATTTAAAACATTCAAGGCACGACCTCCTCACAACAACTGTCGATGTCAATCATTTACTAGTGAATTTTTGTTCGTTACTTCCATCAATTAATTTCGTGAGAACTGCTGATAATTTTGCCGTAAATAGGTTTGTGGTAGGCAACCTACATCTTTTGCGTATTACACATTGTACATATATAATAAAGATATGATATGGTGCACTGCTTTCTGCTCTGTCGGAACGTACATTCTATCTATCGGTGAAGGATTGGATGCGTTTAGGTTTTGTGGATACTTAGAAAGAATTTATTCCGGTAAGGGAAAGGTAGGAAAAACTAGCGGTTTACAGAGGTTTGAGTGCCGAAAATCCAACGAGTCAAATTGCCACCATTCTCTAGAATGGATGCGAAGAATACATCAAGACGCACAATATTTCCGCGGATGCAGTCCAAGCAAGGAGTCTTCCTCGGCCACTCGTAGATCACAGGCTAGAGCCAATTCCAGACCACCGCCTATAGCTCGTCCAGTGATTGCAGCAATCAAGGGTTTGGTGAAGGCGAAGTTTGTAGGACCCTGTAAATGAGAGAACCGACGCAACATAAACATTCGGATAAATCCTCGTGTTCCTTAACCAAAAAAACCAAGCGAATTAGAGGATTCATAACAATAGAGAGGGTATGATGTCTCAAGCGAACCACGAATGAGGGTCATACGCCGTAACATGGGTTTTTTAGAGTTCTACACTCATCTTGATCACGACATGTTGAACACGAGGTGTTTACGTGACTTCCAACATGTACCTTCGCGACTGATTAGCTGAAAAACTTTGCCTCTCTCTTAATTTAAGGGCTTCCCTCTTCCGTGATAACAACTTAATTTGTTGAAAAGTTGGGCGAATAACAGAATATCAGTGTCGAGCCTGAGGTCAAAATGTTAGATGCAGCTGAATGTCTTGTTCACTAAGGCTGAGTGACTCCCAGAAAATGTTTAGATCGATTTCACTAAAGACCTAGCTTTCTCTGTCTCAGTGACCCTGAGACTCTGCTCACATGACGAATTCGCCTTGTGACTGTACCAGTAGAAAAGCAAATCCATGGTGTTGATGAACAGGCATCAGCTGAGCCAAACCATCAAGCATAGTTAAGGTGTCACGGCGATGGATGGGCCAATTGACTGAATCCTAGTGGATGCCTGGAATGTGCACCAGGAAGGGATTATTCTGGGGCACACTAATACACGTTTCTACTATATATACAGTATATATATATATATATATACATATATCAATTGACTGATAGTGGATGCCTGGAATGTGCACCAGGAAGGGATTATTCTGGGGCACACTAATACACGTTTCTACTATATATACAGTTTATTTATATATATATATATACATATATATTGTTTGAATTATTTCATTGCCTACGGATAGTAGGCAAACCTCATAACTTTTTACACCTCATCAGCCAAATATTGAGGAACAACAGATCAGGCATCAAGTTGTTCTATACTTCTGTTATTTCTTATTCTAACCATCCACGGAGAACAAGTGGTGGCTCACGTCACGTTATGCGGATGTCGAGTTCCCGCACATCATAGGTAGTATCGTGCCTGGCATGATTACTGGGCCACTGTGCTTGACCTTATCTCAGTTCAGTTTACATCACACGATTTAGTGAGATGTCTACGCCCCAGCTAACCAAATCGTTTACCTTGGCTCTCTTCAAACCGTGTGAGGAGATAATTCTCTCTTCGCCCCTTCAAAAGCATTAGGCATATAACACACTGAGACATGGAGATATCAGTCGCAAGAATAGTCATACTGCTACCACTGCGCAGAGCATAAATGCGGAAGATAGTTGAATATTTCCGATTTCTAGCCACTACTAACCGGCATGGGGTCAAAATCTCAGCGAACTTATCTGAACGGTCTGTTATGAAAATCTATACTCACTCATGTGAGGCACACAAGAACCGATTAGACCTGACAACATAATCAAAACATGCGCTCGGCCTTCGTTTCAATTTCACCGAAACAGGTTTATGCACCACTAAGCCCAGCATACACTGTTAAAACACTGTATGTGCGAAAATTGTCCAGATGGCGTTTAAAATCAAATCGAATTCCGGATGGTTTGATCACCAAACACAAATAGCATGAATGCTGTTTTCGTGTTCGTTGAAGTCTCTAATACACGATCAAACGACAGCTGGTTTGATACTCATGAACCTTAGAGGATGAGCCAAACGATCACATTTGCACTCAGTTCAAGATCCATCTTTGACAATTTCCAACAAAAAAGCGACATTTTAAATATAGTAGGCGATGAGTTTCAGTTAACCGCCTGCTAAAAGGTCACAAGCGAAGTGACCTTAATCGTAGCTAGAAAAGACGCGAAATTATGCCCCACACAACGTGGCACGGGCTGCAATAGTTCGACAATAAGTAGGAGGGTCACGCAACATGATGGCGACCGCTCCGACCATGAAAAGAACGTCCAACAGTATGCACAGTACACAGAATGCTGCAATTTAAGCATACAAAGGTCAGCCTCTCATAGAAATTTGTGAATTCAGCACAAATACTGAAAGATTGCCGGGTAACTTCCCTAACCAGGGCATCAAAATTATTTAAAACATTCAAGGCACGACCTCCTCACAACAACTGTCGATGTCAATCATTTACTAGTGAATTTTTGTTCGTTACTTCCATCAATTAATTTCGTGAGAACTGCTGATAATTTTGCCGTAAATAGGTTTGTGGTAGGCAACCTACATCTTTTGCGTATTACACATTGTACATATATAATAAAGATATGATATGGTGCACTGCTTTCTGCTCTGTCGGAACGTACATTCTATCTATCGGTGAAGGATTGGATGCGTTTAGGTTTTGTGGATACTTAGAAAGAATTTATTCCGGTAAGGGAAAGGTAGGAAAAACTAGCGGTTTACAGAGGTTTGAGTGCCGAAAATCCAACGAGTCAAATTGCCACCATTCTCTAGAATGGATGCGAAGAATACATCAAGACGCACAATATTTCCGCGGATGCAGTCCAAGCAAGGAGTCTTCCTCGGCCACTCGTAGATCACAGGCTAGAGCCAATTCCAGACCACCGCCTATAGCTCGTCCAGTGATTGCAGCAATCAAGGGTTTGGTGAAGGCGAAGTTTGTAGGACCCTGTAAATGAGAGAACCGACGCAACATAAACATTCGGATAAATCCTCGTGTTCCTTAACCAAAAAAACCAAGCGAATTAGAGGATTCATAACAATAGAGAGGGTATGATGTCTCAAGCGAACCACGAATGAGGGTCATACGCCGTAACATGGGTTTTTTAGTTCTACACTCATCTTGATCACGACATTTTGAACACGAGGTGTTTACGTGACTTCCAACATGTACCTTCGCGACTGATTAGCTGAAAAACTTTGCCTCTCTCTTAATTTAAGGGCTTCCCTCTTCCGTGATAACAACTTAATTTGTTGAAAAGTTGGGCGAATAACAGAATATCAGTGTCGAGCCTGAGGTCAAAATGTTAGATGCAGCTGAATGTCTTGTTCACTAAGGCTGAGTGACTCCCAGAAAATGTTTAGATCGATTTCACTAAAGACCTAGCTTTCTCTGTCTCAGTGACCCTGAGACTCTGCTCACATGACGAATTCGCCTTGTGACTGTACCAGTAGAAAAGCAAATCCATGGTGTTGATGAACAGGCATCAGCTGAGCCAAACCATCAAGCATAGTTAAGGTGTCACGGCGATGGATGGGCCAATTGACTGAATCCTAGTGGATGCCTGGAATGTGCACCAGGAAGGGATTATTCTGGGGCACACTAATACACGTTTCTACTATATATACAGTTTATATATATATATATATATACATATATATTGTTTGAATTATTTCATTGCCTACGGATAGTAGGCAAACCTCATAACTTTTTACACCTCATCAGCCAAATATTGAGGAACAACAGATCAGGCATCAAGTTGTTCTATACTTCTGTTATTTCTTATTCTAACCATCCACGGAGAACAAGTGGTGGCTCACGTTATGCTTTATGGATGTCGAGTTCCCGCACATCATAGGTAGTATCGTGCCTGGCATGATTACTGGGCCACTGTGCTTGACCTTATCTCAGTTCATATTACATCACACGATTTAGTGAGATGTCTACGCCCCAGCTAACCAAATCGTTTACCTTGGCTCTCTTCAAACCGTGTGAGGAGATAATTCTCTCTTCGCCCCTTCAAAAGCATTAGGCATATAACACACTGAGACATGGAGATATCAGTCGCAAGAATAGTCATACTGCTACCACTGCGCAGAGCATAAATGCGGAAGATAGTTGAATATTTCCGATTTCTAGCCACTACTAACCGGCATGGGGTCAAAATCTCAGCGAACTTATCTGAACGGTCTGTTATGAAAATCTATACTCACTCATGTGAGGCACACAAGAACCGATTAGACCTGACAACATAATCAAAACATGCGCTCGGCCTTCGTTTCAATTTCACCGAAACAGGTTTATGCACCACTAAGCCCAGCATACACTGTTAAAACACTGTATGTGCGAAAATTGTCCAGATGGCGTTTAAAATCAAATCGAATTCCGGATGGTTTGATCACCAAACACAAATAGCATGAATGCTGTTTTCGTGTTCGTTGAAGTCTCTAATACACGATCAAACGACAGCTGGTTTGATACTCATGAACCTTAGAGGATGAGCCAAACGATCACATTTGCACTCAGTTCAAGATCCATCTTTGACAATTTCCAACAAAAAAGCGACATTTTAAATATAGTAGGCGATGAGTTTCAGTTAACCGCCTGCTAGTTGTTTGTGCACTGTGTAGGTGTGAGCCAGTGGGGGGAAAGATTCAACCACTCACAATAAATTGGAATGGGATGCCCAAAGGCTGTGTTGTCGCAACATGATGAAGCAATTAGGGAATTCGCCAGCTAATCGTGGGTGAAAACATTTTCAGTTTACTTGAAAAAAGTGAGCGAAAAAACTGTCAAAAATGCACATCTTCGAGGCGGAAGACCATACAAGGTTCAAATGAAATCTCACTCGTACAACAACAAAAATCGTAGTCGATTAGAAATGTCAGAAAAAGCCTGGCTAAATGAGGAATCAGCTAAAAAAAGATTAGCACGAGGTAGGTGAGACGAGCTTTAACCGGGGATTCAACACACGTAGGTTAGCGTTTACAGTTTGCGGACTTCCCCGCCACTTCCTCAGACTGTCGCCTTCTTGTATTTACACTGATGTGCAGTACAAAGTACGGGGGATAATTGTCAATAATGAAGTAATCAAGTAATGCACACACAGACCGTAGTCTGATGAACTCAAAAGACAGCTGAAAACAGGGTAGCTGAGCAAATGACGCAGTGTAGTCAATCGTGCAGTACCACATATTTTCCATCCTAAAGGGCTATGATGAGCATGGATAGTATTGGGAAGGTCAGCTTCCTGAAGGCAACCACTGAATGCCCGAAATCTACCGAGACTCTCAGCTCCGCTGGATGTTGACCAGACAGACAACACCCCCTCAACATGCAGCGCGTCACAGCCTTGTATCAAACCCAGACAGCGCGAGTCAGCGTTGATCAAGGTCATACGACGCCCCCGCGATATGCGGGACGTCACAGCCTCGTACCAAAGCCAGACCATGCGTGTCAGCATAAGACTAAGTTCAAACAGTGGCCTTCCAATAAATAGCCCTCACGCTCTCGCACTCGCTTGTTCGGAATGTGGCTGCTGTGTTCCCTTCTGTGCGTCTTTTTTCTCCGGCACTAGGCGCTGAAGCGGGTCAGCAGCAGATACCTCAGACTGGCGAATCAGCAGGTATAACATATAGTGGATTAAAGAAAAGTCCCAATGATGATATTTTATGTAGTGGAGCTACATACATATTATTTTATGTAGTGGAACACAAACTCGAGTTAGTTTCTTATTACGTGGATTACATGGATCAATAGAGATTGTGATATCGAAAGCAAAGATGCTCGCATTCACACCCCGTTTCAAGAGGCGCAATACGTCAGTGCAAATCTATTGGAAAATCACCTTGTGAATATCTTGTTGTTTTGTTTCTGTATTGTAATGGGCACAGCTCAGTCATACAAGTACTCATCTGCAATGAAATCCTTTCTCATCCAGAGTGGGTTGTTGGCTAAGCAATCGTGAAGAGCCCGTTGACTGGAAAACTGATGGTGTCGGTATTTTTGCTTAGCATTGCAGCAAAACTGCAGAATCAGTTCAAATTCTAGGGGAATATTTCAAAATAAGCCAGATTTCTCTATTCCGTTAGTGTGGCGGTGTACATAGACATACTCTAGGCACCTAACGGTAACTAGTTATCAGTGCCTTGGTCACATGGCAGAACGCTGGGGTCGTGACATCGTACCGCAAGACCCTTTCCAGATCACCAGGCAGCACACTCAGGGTCACTATGACTGTGATACATTCACGTATAGGAGCTGCCTCCACAATCTATGATGTGTAGATCTTGGTGTTGAGTCTATGTTCGGAATCTAAGCTATGGGGCGATAGGGCTGATGAGGTACTGACTGAGAGCTCACGGTACTACCCACCACCAGCTTTTCGGTTGCGGTTGTGTGGGCTTGGGTAGCCCGAAATGGAAAGAATGACTTTAAAGGAAGCCACAAATGCACGGATCAAGTGACCCTGAAAAACGACAGCCACATATGAAACAAAAATGATATAAAAATAGAATATTTATGGGCTTCCAAAATCACATTTCCACAAAGTACTTGTGTCAAACAATAATTTATGGTTTTCTCGACAGAATGCTAAGGATCTGAGCGCTGTTGCTCAGACTCTAAGACACAGGCTCGACGCGTTTTGTGAAGTGCTTGAATGGAGTACTCGAATGTTCTACTGGCTGCAATCATTGTTGTGTTCAGAATGCCGGATACGCACCTTATCCTATCTCGGAAACTAACTGGAATGTAAACTTTAAAGTTCACACGCAGAGTCAATATAATGTGACAAACAATACACTGATATGTAAATACAATACAAGAGACCTAAACTGCTGCTCCCCCACAACGCAACTGAATACAGGGGATAGTCACTAAGTGAAAGTTAGTGAAAATTGGCCGACAAAATTTGTACAATATGGCATTGTTCTACAAATTTATTTCAAAATTCACCCTATAAGAAACTAGCGAAATAAACAATTGGTGACAGAATGGTACAGTCTCCATTGTCAGAGCAATTAGACAGATAATCTGCAACGCTGTCTGGTTCTCACATTGACAACCTGAATTGTTCTTATCAAGTAGAGATGTAGTCGAGAAACATTTAATCTGATGCCAGTCCCATTTAGTCGTGATTAACATGATTTGCAGTTTTGTCATGGACTGAAGGCGTGGACCAGTAGGACGTCTGACCGAGAATCACAGGTGCGTTCTGGGCAAGATTTGCAGTAAGAACAAAGTAGAATGGATGAGGCGTAATACACTACTCATAAGGTTGATGAAAACTCTTCGACAGCCCATGACCGGTTTCGCTCTTCTTGGAATGCATCAAGTGGACGCAGTCCCAGATTTCCGGCAAGCTTATGAACTTGGATTCAGTAAAATTCAGGTTATAAGAATTCTGACTTGAAGATTAACAACCAGAGGGATTTGAGGACGCAATGCCTTGAAGCTGATAGAAAATCGCGGAACGGTGTTGAAGGAGATTACTCATTGTCTCAACATATCGAGGTATTGTTTGATTGCAGCTACTATGATGGTCATATGATGGCCGCCTTCTCAAGAACTAACAAGCATGAATTTTGAAATCGTCAGAAGCGACATGGCCGTGCTGTTGACAATATCAATTTCACCAGATTGAAGACGATGACCATCGATAAATCTCAGTCTAATCGTATGTGGCTGAGCCTTCCTCATAAATTCACTCACACCGGTATAAGAAGCAGTAGGGACCAGAAACCCAGTGGCCTTTAGGTGCGTTTGCAAATGAGAACGTGGCAGGTGTGTGCTGCTTCCAAGTGCGTGAAGAGCTGTTTGGTGGCTCATTAGCATTTTTCAATTGATTTAGGCACACCCGATGGCTCAGTGGTTAAAGCAAGAATTAACTGACCGTAACGTTTGTGCTTTGAACCTGACCTCTGCCTCTCGACTTCCCCCGCCCAAGTTTGGGCAATCTGGCAGTATCCTAGCACTCGTGCTTCCTTTGGGTGGCATGGCAGTTGATACACGGAAAGGAGGCTAAAGCTGAACGACCCGTTCCCGAATAACGACTTTTTCTAGGGAATACAAAATTACGAATTTGTTTCTTAAAAGGCATCAACAAGTGAAACAGTTGGTTCGCTGCTGGAAGAATTCATGATATTTTCAGAGGAATCAGCAGTAAGGGATTTCTGAATAAGGGGAAGCCCATGCCTGGGGACATGTTATGGATCCCCTTAGGGCATACCCCAATAACCCGGACGAAGAACAATAAGCCTCATGTCCTGCGAGATTAAAACGCCTCCCTACAAGAGACACTGCGTCGGAGTTTCTACTGAATGACACTCACTGTTTGTCCCGTCTCAGAAATGTGTAGGTGAACAACTGCAGCTTGTTGGACAGTTGGCACATGTCATTTTGGCAGTAATGTGCGGAAATTGACCACCGAGTGTGAACTGATCAGACGCAACCGACCCACAGCATTTCGTGCATGTATTATGAAGCGACGAGCCAAGATTCGTCCTCGTTTTCCATCTTTGTTTAACTTGAAATACGGTATGTTCCTGTGTATTCGTAAAGCTAAATTGTCATACAGGTCTTTTTCGGAATACTCATTTTCCGAGGTTCGTCTTATTTATAATCTCTGTTACGAGAACGCATCACCACAGAACTTGAATGGAAGTCACACCAAGCACATGGGAAGATTTTGGCTCTCCGATTGCATGTCCCTCATCAACATCATTGACAAAAACACCAGACGAGAACACTGGTGCTTCGCTGGCCGTACATGAGTTGGGATACTGCCAGCTTGCCCGGGCATTGACAGGAGGACGATTATGGTCCTCAACAAAAGCCTTTGGCTCAAGAGTCTGATCACATCGGACAAGTGGTCACTCGTAACTCAGTCCCCAATCCGGAGGACCAGGAGACTCCTAATTAGTTTTCTACCCACAGACCAACGTGATACGAGAAGCCCAGTATGAATGAAAATACCCCTGCCATGCAACTATTACAAAAACAACATAAAAGTAATGTTCACTGTGACGAGAAACCAAGAAGAGAACCAATTTCTAAACCCAGTAATCCAGTAAGTCTGTTAGACTGCAAACAAACAATGCACCCTAGGAAAAATTCAGTGCACGGGCAGCTTGACCATGGAGGACCAGCACTGGGTAATTTGGAGATACTCCTAACAATTCGACACTCTATGCCCCGCAAATTGTGTGATCTCGCGCACGAGAACAAACGGACGCTAAAATCTGAAAAATAGGCATTATACGATTAAATAATCATTTTTTAGGCGTCAATATTAAAAATGTAGACTTTATTTGCTGCCGATCTGCAAGACAAAGCAAAACGCGTTCCGTGTAGCTTTAAACACAAACGGAAGATTCATAGAACGTGACAGAAGTTGGTGAACATCGAGATAATGTGGACTGACTGGAAGAAAACAAGAAAAGTCAAAAGCCAATCAGTCATCTTCAGTTGTAAACTTGAAGTGTCCTGTTTCTCTGGCACTGTGGCACTGTAATTAAGAGCTTGACTGAGTCGTATATCGTCTTCCTTCACCTGAAAACGCCGACCACCCAACTATTTGCGATTTACCAATGACGAATGGCACCAAGGATGGCATAAGTTGACGTCATGATAGCCTGTATAACCGACAGTATGCATGAAAGGCGTGGTGCCTTGTAAACAGACTCATGTACGCCACAGGTTATCTCGAAGAAACTTGAGATTTTCAGGACCACGCGGTACGTTTGCAATAGACTGGCCGGCTGAACGAAATACAGGGCGAGTTTCCTACCACACTGCTAATGATGCTATTGAGAGGGGAGTAACTCACTTGAGAGGAGTCTTCGGATTTCAGTAGTACAAAAATGGAAACCGAAATTTGGTGTCCCTTGATTAAATTAACACTAGAAATTTGAAGGGTAGGAAGAAAAGCTTTTTCGACTTGTTTTGACTACAAGTTTTTGGTCATGCACTTTTAGAGGTCAGGTATTTTTTCGGAAAACGATTTTGAACTTGTTCCATCCAGCCTTTACCAAAGAGGTCGCCAGACATTAAGAACATGTAAAGGTAGAAGGATATGTTTCCAAACATCATCAGTACCGCACATAAAGCCACAAAATAAAACATTTTTTTCGGGAATGTGTCAAGTGCAGCGCGAAATGCAGTAGTGCACTTAAAAGCGAAGTTCTTCAGCACAAAATGTGCTTACTACGAAGAACTTATGGGTGCACCCAGGGGAGAACGCCACCTCAGAGCAAACGATACGGCATATGGTGGTTGGGTTATGACTGCCTATAAAGCGTGCTTATTTCCTTACATCATCATCATCGACAGCATGACATCAGTGCTCAACACTGATGCTTTATTGACATTAAAGTTAACCTCACTGCAGTTCAAAGCGGATAACTTGGTCAATTATTAACAGTAACGGACTAAGTCATAAACCGAAGCTTTCAAGATCCTCTCACTGGCTGTGAGACAGGCATCACTGCCGAGAAAAAATAAAACACCTGTGTATGAAATCATCACATGTTACCGGTCCTGTTTTCAACTGTCCCAATGAATTACCCAATGCCTTGATTGCTAATACACTAAATGAATTGTGGCGTCAAGTGGTGACGCTGGTTGGAACCTGCTAGCCCGTCTACTCACATATTGAATGTAGAGGCGAACTGCCACGGCAGTTCGCCTATACTAATACACTATACTATACTAATACTAATACTAACACACTAATACACCCCGAGGTCAAGAGAAGTTAAATTGATTCGTTGCGGCGTGTTGTGACGTGGTATTTCATTAGTAATCACGAACGAAAGGTGACGAGTGGCTGGCGATCAACGGTAAAGTCCATGTATTGCTTGGGCAAAATGAAACCTACAATGAGGCCACTGAACTCGGAAGAAGTTTTTGTCAATGGAGGAGAAAAGATGGCGGTTGAGTGCCGCAGTATGCCACCTTCATATTGTCATGGCTGTACGGCAATGAAGCATGTGTGTTGAACACTGGTGTCATGCTGTCGATCATGATGTGATGAACGTGGTATTGGATGACTCAAATTAACACCACAATCGGGTAAATAATCCTCATTGAACGGAGTTGGGATAAAGAATTAGTGACAACCAATCAAACCTCTTACGCTTATTTATGTCAGGCCTCTAAACTGTTGTCGATAACCATCTGGTACAGAAAGTGAGATGACTCGCTCGTGAAGCTGGCGAATACTGTTTTCGAACGATTTTCCAGACATGTTTGCCTCTCGTGTTACTGATGTGTCTAACAGCTGAGTTGAACAAAACGGGACGTTTCTGTGTAATGATGTCACACAAACAAAGAATAGGTTGATCTGGTATCTAGGACGTAAATAAAGTCAAGAGTGAGCTAGATTTGCGTGGAAACCATTACTTACCATCGGACGAACAGTGTCTACCGATTTAGTATCACCAAAGGTATCAGGTCCCTCGTCTGACAGTTGGTCAAAATCCAGTCCCGTGCAAAAGTCGATTCCCTCACCGTATAAAACTCCCCCAAGTATATTTTCATCCCTTTCGAACTCATTTCGTATCACATGACACAGGTCTCTCGCAGTCTTGCGGTCGATACTGTTCGATCTGTGTGGCCGATTCAGTCCGACCAATAGCAAACGCCCGATTCTTTGAGTGATTACAGTGGATACTGCATTAGCGGTTGCCTGAAATATGGAAAACATTGGACGATATTTAAAACCAGAAAACCAACTGACGTTATAGAAGGCGCGTTACAGGTGACCCCCCAGAACGCTCCATAACGGTCAGCGGAAACACTGTAAAGCAGGAAAAATATAGTCTCGATTAAAATAAGACATGAAAGTTGCTGGCAGCGAATACTCATCTAGAAGACAGCTCGGTTAAACTGAAATCTAAGTTAATCATTATTACGTATATAATCCTGTTCAAATCGAATTCTTGGAACCCAGATGAAGCTCATAGCGCCATGTAAGTTTTTTGGCCACAAATTCGAGCTCCAAATCAACTATTCAACGTGTTGAAAGACTTTTAAAGCCTGGTTAATTTTTCTTCATCATTGGATGGATACGGATCTTCTACCAGCACCGTCATACCTTTGCAAGCATCGCCACAAAGTGAAGTGAAGTATGTGGCTGAGAAAAATCAAATGAAAACAGTGGGAGTCTATTATAGCCATGGAAGTGCTTGTGCTAGACATTCTATTTTCATACTACTGTTCCATAGGCAGTAATCACCAACATTTTCATTGTTAACCAAGGTACGTCAAGTTCGCCTTAGATAACATATCCGACAGTTTCCGGTCATTTGTGCCAAACAGGATAAATGGCTCGAAGAAGCTAACACGAAAATCTGAAATGCAGTGTACGAGTGTTCGGGTTGTCATGATAGGTCCTGCTCAAACCCAACGAGTCAAACCTGTGACCTGTTCGGTGATAATAAAAAATGCGATGTAACGCCTAGACGTCCGACGCTTGATTGCTTGAGTACAGTGAAGCCATTAAATCCTAGGAGTGTGATACATACAAGTCCATATTTCAGATTTATAGCCTTAGAATACAGTGCAACACAGCCCCTGTCGCCTGTGGCATCGTCCATACCTCACGATCGAAGTTTCAGTGTAACGTGGATTTTGTTTTAGGATGAGCCCCCCAAGAAATCAACAGCTAGATGCAGTCTACCAGACAGAAGGCTGTACATGGAATAATGACCCTCTAAACGCGGGGAATCAGGTTACAATATTTCTACAGCCTGGAACAAGGAGATTAAGTATGATATAATGAGCTCTTACTATGATTTATTAGGTTACGGGGATACACAAACCTCTGCCTCATGATAAGATGCCTCCTCTCAAGGATTTGTCATTTCCAACACCAAACCATATGAAAAAAGACAACGACATCGGAGAGGGTAATGGAATACTTCCAGCCAAATCAAACAGAACTAAGCTGTGATGGAGAGGTACATAGTAATGATAAATCAATATGCTGAAACAGATTCCTAGTAATTACGGTAATGAAGCATCAGTGTTGAACACTGATGTCATGCTGTCGGTGGTGATGATGAAGACGATGATTCCTAACAGTAGTGCAGTCGTAGAGGGGGCGAGATGGCTCAAATGGTTAGAGTGCGAATTCAATAACCAGATGGTCCGTGGTTCGAACCCAACCTCTACCTCTCGACCTCCTGTCTAGCTTTGGGCAACCTGAAAGTATCCCAGCCCTCATGCTTCCCTCGAGTGGCATGGCAGCTACGCACCGGGTGTTACATCTGAGAAATGTAGTCGTAGTAGCGTGCGACAACTTAATCTGAAGATGTAAAGTAGACCAAACGGAATATAATCCAGGACTGAATAGAATCCAACCAACTACGGTGTACATAGACGTGGTGTGTCAAACGTCCCGGTGAATTCTAGGCGAAAACAACAAACAATATAAAGCCCATTTCTTTTTGACCGGGATTAAACAAGTAGCCCAAATTCTCGATCTGCGATTCAAGTGAGGATGGTCTATTCCAAATAAAGCAGACCACATCAACTAAAACCTAGAATCTCAATATTTGTGCACTCCAAATTTAACACAGCTCGAGCAACGTCGACAGAGACTTTTGTAATTTAAGAGCTTATTCGTAGACGACTGACAGAAGATCCACATGGATTTTATTCCCCAGAATAAATCCAATCCAGGTCGAAAATTCGAGCGGGACTTTGCAGCTGTGTAACGGACCTCGAAAATCACTAGCGGTACACATCCCATGAGGATATGAACCGCACATTAGTTAAGCCATCTCATTAAACCATGAGGATAGTTGGCAGTCACCAAGCTGTATTTTGGCATGATGCAGATTCAATCATTGTTCGACAGTCTAGCTCACCTCAACTAGCTTGGTGCCAACTCGCTCCCCGATTAAAGACTGTGGGGGACGGCAAACTTGAAATCCGCACATCACCTAGTTCACTACTTATAACAAACCTTGCCAAGTCACATGCACCCTTCACTGAGAAACGGCCACTCAAGAGTAAGTACACATCAGGTCAGATGATACGCCTCCGCGCTGCAGAGGTTGAAAGGGTCTAAGCCCTTTCTCGAGTGGAAATTCATTATTATCCAACCTTTCATCAACGAATTGTAGAGTATCTTCCGAATGGTTGGTATGCAACGAGTATGGATGGCGTAATCGGCGTCACGTGCGCTGTAAGACGTCCATCGACATTTTAAGGGGCGCCGATGTTAAACAAATACAATCTGGTACAGCAACCCTAAGTATAGGATCACCTCAAGAAAACTTGCAACAGCTGAGTCCACGACGGAGTGATATTGTTAGGCCCTACAGTTTCCAATGTCCGTAACTTCAGAATTGTGAGTTGACCGTTAATATTCAGATATCAGGAGTTGTATGCTGGTGGGAAAACTGAGTACGGCGGCTACTATACGCATGAGACTCAAGGATAGGATGCAGCCAGCGAACTTAACGGACAGTTGCACTACGTATACGCGGACCATTCACTTAGTTGAGTACATCGCAATAACATTAAAACAAGAAATGGAACTAAACATGCAAAAGGTTTAGAACCAACTTCTGGATTGCGTTATGCGACTATCTCTCACCACATTATAAACCATAGAAAGTAAACGAATCTGGTTCTATCATTATCGAATATTGACACGGTATGCTGCCACTCGCAAAAGGTCAGTAGGCGACCTCACAAGTCCTTCTCCACTCACGTAACACCTGCGCCACAATCAAAGTCGCTAGATGTTTTATTCGATCTTGAATTGTGTTTTGACAGCGACGTTCAAATAACTTCCATACGCGTTTCATATCACATAGCGGCGGCTTTCTGGCGACATTTTCACTCTGAGATTTTAACCCCAGAGAGTTTGGTGGTGAAATCGCGAAACCACTACCAGGAATGTTCTGGTTCGAAGCCACCATGGCTTATTGTACTTGCCTAGGTTTAATAATGGTTGCGACCTTCCTCGAATTCGAGCTCCATTCGTCAAATGACCAAAGGTAAAGTATTTCGGTATAAGGTTTCAAGTGGCCTATCCATCGCAGCTAGCTGTGCGTAAAGGCACATTCAATTTCGTTGGGAATTCGAGTATTCTGAATTTTGGCTAATGAAAGCATCTGAAAGGTTTTGCACAAGCGTTGTGAATGAAAGAATGGAGTCGTTATTCGAGGAGCCAGATAACAAGCGGTGTAGCTCCTGTGACTAACGTTATACTCTAAGTGGGAGTTGATCACACCACTGATCCGCCGCTTATAACCGAACTACTAAGTGTTCAAGCTACTTGTCAGAAGGTTATGGATTCCAAATTCCCTTCTGTTTCCTGAGATGCGCACTACCGATGGTTCTCCATACGGACAAAACAGCCGTACAGTGCATCCAGACTTTCCACCATAGACTGACTGCACAGGACGAAATGTGTTACATGGAATCCGCCATGCATTCTTTTGTATTCTGAAGAATGGTTATGGCTCATTGCCGTACAACGGTGCAGATTTCGGTAAATTTCAACTTTGAAGTCTACTGACAGATTGCAGGTACTCCCTAAGCTTCTGAATAGGCGACCGAAAGCTGCACATGTCCCGGAAGTTCTAGTAGTTGGCTGAGGACCGACTGCCAAGTCTAGACGGGGCACTGTCGGGGTTTCGGAAGTGTCCGCAAAACGGCATGTCGCGACCAATAATTTGAAAGCCGCCGTCGACAAAAACAACGAATATTTCAGAAACGCATATCTGGACCGAAGCGGGCTATTGCTGGGGGCGAATAATACGGTTGTTCGCTGCAAAAAAACGCATATAGAGTACAGTCATCCGAAAATGCAGCGGTATGGCATCGTTTTGGCCATGATGCGATTTGAGTAGCCGAGTTAACCGACAAATTTCACTAGATGAATCCATCCTGAATCACGAAACGCCCCCGCACAAATCGCAGTCAAGTGTAGGGGAAATAAACTGGTAACAACACAACTGTAGTCCAACCCTACGCCAGTGTCAAACTCCGTAGAGATGGTTCCACAGGTATGCACTTGAGCCTTCATGGCACAGAAAAAGAACCTGATAATGCGTGCAATTTTTCTCGGAACAGCATTTGAAAAACTGTATCAAAGGTCATCACGAAATCGTCGAACGGGTTTCGTTTTCGGCACCCTGTACGAGACACACTGAAAGGATGGGCTGAGTTGCTGCATTTTCCGTAGAATCCAACCTGACTTACAGGATGTCAGCATCCCGTCGGGTGAGGAAAATGCGCAGCACGATTTTCCCACCACGCATACACATGTACATTTTTATGTATGCGTATGTGTATACCACTGGTGCGTCCGCGATCTTGGAAAGTCGGGCGTTGTGACTAACCAGCGTACCCACTTACCTGCCGATTGATTTCAAGAGAATGGAACGGAGCTAACTTTGACCTAATCAATGCCTACTTGGTGTGTTGTTAGGCTAAGGGAAACAACATCGTAAATCATCAGGTCAGTAAAACACCAAAATACTTACCACTAATTTGACGGACGAACCTTTGCGAGCATCTAGATGTTACTATTAGGGGGTGTTCATGTACTGAGCCAAAAATTAAGGGATACGGCGGTTTACGTTACCACCACAAGCAACTGATGCCAGTGGTCATTATTTTGTCACTACTTTCAGGACGTCTGATATCTTGCAGCAGGTTTCTGCAATTTCGCTCACTCATCATATTCCCGTTAGCATTAATATAATAGCTTCTGCTCCAGTGTTTTAAATTTTCCGATGACTCTTACCGTATTCACGTTATCCTCGAGACTTTACCATTCCGACGCGTAAACTCCACTCTTAGAGTCTACTAGAAATAGTTGTGATCGGTTACGATTGATTAAGATGCTACTGATGCCAATAAGGTATAACAAACATAGTGTGGGTGCCGAGCAATCAAGAGTCAGCTGTTCTTTGGAAATACTTTGTGTTGATAAACCCTTCTGAGTAACATCAATAGTCACTGTGTGTAATAATGATAATGCCTTAGTTTAGTTCTCGTTGCGTGCCATCCAAACCACTCTTTTAGGCAAACAACTACCAATGGTGCATGAAGTGTATCAAACGCACAAAACCAGACAAAAAACATACATTTAAGGTGTATGAGGCAACAACATTCAAGAAACTCCGATACCTTCTGAACGAGCCACTGGTACTCGGTGGATATTGAATCGTGATTGACTGTCGCCTTCACACTTCCGGCCAATCAGAACTCACCTTGGTGCTAGGCAGGCAAGCGGCCCACCTGGTCACCGCGCTCGAATTAGGTTTCTCTGCCTTAGCAGCGCCTAACTGTGAGTGGTAGATCGCTTGTGCCGGGGTTCCGCCAGTCATTGTTGGATAAGGTACCGACAGGTCAAAGGTGATGTGCGTGACGCACTACAGTTCATAGCTACGAGTGCCGATGGTGTTGCATGATTAATGGGCTACATGCTGATGTAGCATGTAGCAACATTCATTCCCGACATCATTTCAATACTAGAACACTGTTTCCTCGCGGCTAAAATAACCGATTCGTTGATAAAGACAATTCAAATTCGTCTTGATTTCATCTAAGAGCAGACTTCGTGAGTGAGGCTATGTGATAAACGAAATCCAGAGAAACCCCTTCTTGAAAGCTGAAGAATGTTCGCTTTAGCACCAGGTGACCGCCGAATTTACGTGCCCTTTGCTGGAAACAAAAACAACTGCAGGAGGTACAAGCATGATTAAGAAAGCTGATCAATGTCATCCAGTCCTTTGGCATGCACTTCGCGCCCACGTGTAGTGATTTTGGGCAAACCTGCAGTCTTTGAACATACTTCTGGGAATACCAGGATCGACACCGGAAGTTGTGGAACGCTACGTGCACCTCGGAGGTTGCGTCAGCTCTGACCAAGTCAACCCATGAATCTCAAAGGTCAGAGTTGTGCTTGCCAACATCTGGCAACAAAAAAGCATAAAAAGAAGCGTGCGGTCTACATTGTTGTACGGCCGCGAGACTTGGCCGTTTAGGGTGGAGTACATGAGATGCCTTCAGGTTTTTGACCACCAATGCCTCAGAACTGGAACAGGCAAAATCCATTCATATGAACAGACACAACCCAAGAAGCAAACGACCCGAAGCATGGAAAATGAGAACACCAGTTTTTTCTGCAATTTATTGCCCAGTTGCCGTACATGTTACAGGTGTGGAAAAGGGCGACAAAGAGGATAAAGAAGCCATCCACAGTTAATGTACCACGGATATCCCGAAATGCATACATTGCTGAACACTCAGACTGTAAAAAAAAGCAACAAGGCGATTGGCAGACATGTTTTTAGGGTCTCCAGCCGTCGATCAAAGCCACTGCAGCACAACCGTAACTTATCATCACCATCGTGGACGGCGTAACATAGGTTCAACTCAGATGCTTCGCTGCTGTAAACACGTTTTTTGGTTCTCTACAGTAGATTCGTCCAGTATAGAAACTATACGTTGGAGACGTTGTTCGCCAAAGCTAAACCGCCCACAGAGGCCACATCCCACGTATACACGGATACATGATTTTGTCATCAAATTTGGTGCGAGTTAGCAAACACCATTCGATCATTCGCGAAGAAGCCATTATATTAACCCGAGCAGTTTGAAACTCACGGATATCGATTAGAACAACATTCGAAGCAAGCTACCAGAAGTCCGTATGTTAAAGAGAACCTATCGTAGACGAACTAAGAAAGAGCTGATGCAAAACGGTCACCCTAATTAACTACGTAAGTGTGGAGGGCGAAACTAGCCTTGTGTTCCGACAGTACGGCACCCATTTTATGCACTAGTTTCTAGTTTCTCTTACAAAATAGTTCTGACCGCCACACATTACGCATTCTCCATAGTTGCTGCAGGTCCACATTCTGGTTCACAGTGTCCAAGAGATGGCACAAAATCACTGACCAGGTGGTTCGTTGTTCGAGTCAAACCTCTGCATCTCGAGTACTCCTGTCTAAACTTGGGTAACCCGGTATAATCTCAGCCCTCGTGCTTCCTTCAGGTGATATGGCGGCTAAGAACCGAAGGGATGTTACAGCTGAACAGTTACTACTGCCACTAAAAAGCCCTTCGTGGTGTATCGTACAAAACAAGATCCTTGACGCAAGTGCTGAAAACAGTAGATTTGAATTTAAACAAATCTAAATTTTTCACTATCAAAGTCAACGGCGCCGTGTGGAATAGAAAAATAGCACGTGTCACGTGAAGCATCACGGGAAAGTCTCGAGCAGATAGAAGAGTAGGACTGGTCAGTAAATCTAGGTAGAGCTGGTGATTATGAAGGAAAAAAAAAACAAAGATCAGCATTTTTTGTACACTAGTATGTCAGGTTTCTGGGGTGGTATAGAAGCCGGGCCATGTAACGTCCGGGCCCGAGTGATGAACGCATTGACCATCATCGCCACCACCTGATCGAAAAACAGACCGGCGATCTTTGCATACAAGGCTGATTTGAACTCAAAGTCCACCTGAATAGGGGGTGGGGGTTGAAACAAGTATAGAGATGTTTGCAGTTCTGTCAAAAATTCGTTGAATTAAAGCAAGTAAAGACTTTGAAACCTTAGAGGAAATACTCCTAGTAAGCAGAGTGGCAATATATACGAACGAAGTGCTGTCTAACTGCTATGTGCTGGTAAACTGCAAGCCTCTGATATGTTGCGTCAGAAACAAATGTCCACCTAGGGTGACAGGGTTCTCCTGGAGGAAGCCAAGCAAAACTGCTTGTGGATGTTCCAGGAGCTCGACCCTACTGACTGAGCATTTAATGGACAGGGCCTATATATCAAGGGACAGTATAGTAACAGCACCGATCATCATATGGATCAGTGATTAATCGACGTAGCTGTAATTCTTCATCAAAGAATGCGCCAATTTAAAATATAAGCAGCGTGGGACAACTACTTAAAGTCGACAGACAATCCCAAAAGCTGGGGATTGAAATCAGTTTGCCTTCCTTACAAATCTTCCCAACGGAATTATGAGGTAGCCTGTATGCCGTACTCCATGCGGAAGAACATCAATATACTGTTATCTACGAGAGAGTTCATCGAGTCTCCAGTACCAGTAATTTCTTCATGCACATGAGCTCAAAATTAAATCCGTTGGTCTCTTCGGATAACCCAAGTGCTGATGAAAAGTAAGACTTCTTTATCTGGGGGAGATGTGATATTCACCCGTTCAGTAGTCATCAGAAGACTCTACAAAGATCGATGACTACTGACATGAAGCAATCTGGGTAGTCACAAGCAATCGCCTTTTTTGAATAAAGCAATAGTTGGTTAAGCCAGGAACCGCGGACATTTCAAATTAGGATAGGCGGGCACGTGGTCATTCCACATCCGACAATGTCTTCCAATCAGGATGAAAGGATCAGCTTTCCGAGGTATGATCACACATAACACGTATTAAACGATCTTAAAATGAAGGACATCACCGTCGCTACTCACAAGGTTGCTGAAAACTCTTCGGCAGCTCACGACCAGTTTCGCAACCTTGTGATTAGTTTCCTTTATGAAAATACACTGCGATATCTCGAATACCGTACCAAATGAAACATGAGGCGGTCCGTGTGCAGCACATTCATCTGAAGAACACCATAACGAGGGAGTAACTTGAGTCTCTGGTGAAAAACAAATTGGTTTACAAATCACTACCATATAATCGTCAAGCAAAATAAATAACGCAGACTTTTGGAAACAAACAGAGTTTGGCAATGATCACGATCCCTTAAACAGGCTAGTGGATGGCGCGCACACACCATTAGGGTTCTACTAACCCATCAAGGTAAACAAACGGATAACTCACGGAGAATTCTACCATGCACGTGTTTTCGTTGGCAACAAGTCCCGGCCAGAAATGCCACTGATTGATCAAATACTCGAACATATGAGAACTGTGTGCTACCGACTTGAGGGATGGAAAGGGCGAAAGAGGGGAGCAGGGTGAGAGAGAATGAGATATGAAACGAAAAAATTGAACTGCTTGGCGTTGTTACACGCGAAAACAACAGAAATGGCATTAATCTGACGAGATGACGAGCGCCTATACTCCTTGGACAAGTCTTCATCCCACAAGATTTCAAGCCCTTGGCTGGGAGTCCAAATGGTGACCACAACTAAGCACACCGTTTTGAAATGTCTTCCAGGTGGAAACCTTGATCATATGTGATCCCTAATGAGTTTTCAGTCACATTCAGCGAAGCCGGTCGGAGTTAACGAAAACCTCGTTGACTCCACTTGGAGTAACCAGCAATGACGGAAAGCAGAAAGTGCGTCTTTTACGGATCGGGGATTGTTTTCTTAAGGGTCGTGAACGTCTCTCGGGGCAGAAATCACTTCGACTGGGTCCTGTTTCGGAATCTCACACTTTCGAAAATATTTGGAGGGGAAGGAAAGCAAAGATATTAGTGACAATATCCATGAGGCCAGCAAACCGATAACTTTCTCCTTCTGTTGCTATCAGCTCTCAGTTTTGTATTGCTTCAACGTGCTCGTGCGAGCTGGTTTTTTTTCAAACACAGGAAATACACGGGGAAGCTCGATCATTTCTAGTGGATCCAGTGACTTCAAATCGGAGTTTTATTGAGGTGTGCACGTAGTACCAACTTGGAGAAGCACATCGTACTGCCTGGAATCCAGGCTTTGTTTCGTTGCGTGGTGAGAACGAGACAGTTCTTCGAAACTTGTCCGATAAATGCTTCTTATAAGGACCACTCCTCATCCACTGAGACCAGTAGAACATTAACGACTCTTTGGTATCTGACTACTCTTTTTTCATCTGTGATGATGTAAAGGTTCATCAACTCTAAGGTATGCATAGTGTTGTTCCTAAAGAGCGCATATTCTCGGAACCGGTAGCAGTCAAGCTCACTTCGGAAGCACACTGATGCTCCCAGATACACAGTTTTTCAGCCTGTTGACAGAAATTCCCGAGTTTCATGATTCAAACCCTTGTTTTTTGAGGTTGGACATGTGGGTATTACTGAGGCTGAGGGCGCCAGCTATACAACAAGTCGTTTGTGCTCGACTTTTGATCCGATTGCACTTTACCGTTACAGAGACAGAGGTAAATTTCCTCTGATTCCGACATTATTGGGCGGACATTGAGGTCCCATTACTCATCTAAAACATGTGAGTTCAAACGCTGTCTTAAGACGGAATTACTAAAACAAGATAGACTTTGCTCAGTGGCCAATAACAAATGCTTCATAAACCATCCGAAAGAACTAAAGTGCTCGGAGGCATGCATTCTGCGGCACCGATCAACGTGTACGATAGAAGACTAGTTACCGCAATTCACGACCAACTTCTGTTTCGCAAAGAAGCCATATCCTACTCTTCTACTACCCAATCAATGGTAGAACTAAGATACTGCATGCAATGAAAAACATTTCGCTGCCGTGAAATCATAATTTATTTGAAAACCTTAGTGAGGAGAAAAGAATAAAGTGAACGGGAAAGGAACTTAGTGCCGGCTTACTATAATCGTTCCAGACACTCATTAAGGCAATCTGGGCTGAAACTGACAGCAAAAACGCCATTGACATCGATTAGCAGTCATATCTTGCAGCATCTCCAACAAGGCGCAGTGGGACTAATGAGATCTCATCCTGGAAAACGAGTCGCACCGATAACACCCGAACATTTCGTAATCCCTTTCGCACTCCTTTGCCAGGTCAAGGGTTGGTCACCTCTTTGCTTCCGCCATATTCTCATACTCACACAGAATGGCACTGACCCTGGCACTAACCGTCAATTCCATCAAGTTACAGTAGCACACCAAACGCTGAACGAATAAAGCACCTTAACATTTTGTTCTGGAGATCTACAGCACGTGCCTATGATCATCATCATCAACATTATCACCAGACGGAAACAGCTTCACTTCCGTACAAGGAAAAAGTGTATTCCATCATATTTAAAGCCGAATGACGGAAAAAGGAAAGACTGCACGGAGAACGATCCCGGTACTGAACTAGTGCAAGCATTCTGTGGTGCACATACCTTCAAACAGTAGTCAAGCAATCTGAAAAAATGGCAATGCGACATGCATTAGACGTCAATGGTTCAACGTATTCAGCCAAACACAAGAAGGGTCACAGCCACCTCATCCTGGAAGGCGAAATGTACCAAAACCGACCTCAAACTGTCACCCTGTTGTGATGGTCAGGCCTCAAGGCTGCAGAGATCCCGTGGGTTATACTGGTTGGAGGTTCAAACATGACATGAAGGCTATCGAGGAGCAGCCCGACGAAAGACAGTGCGTCCCCGTACTGTAGATCAGGCATTGGAGTCGAAGGCTCAAAGTGCGGGACCTCAACCATACCCCATCTTCGTCTTGGGCAACTGGGGTGTATCAATCACCCTCACAGCTCCTTGCTCACCGACCCTCCACCACAGCCCTTCCCAGCCATCGAATGATGCAATGTGATAAATCCACTTGCTAATCCACTATACACTGTTCAGTGTCTAAACTATCGCCCAGAAAAAATAAACTAGTCACTTACTAAACTCAAAAGGTCTGACTCACGTTGCATCCTTCAGTGTCCGTACCCTATGCCAAATTTGGCGATAGTTCTTGCTAAAGCCTTGCTTTCCATCTCTGTCAATGTATGTTGTCTCCTAAACATACACATGAGACATCACCTAGATCGTGCACCTCAAGCCACTTGGAACAAGCTCAAACGCACCATAATTTGCTCTTTGAGTATCTAGTGATTCTAAAAGAATCTGAGGTGTGGACTCAGGCTCATCATCATCATTATCATCATCATCATCGACAGTATAACATCAGTGTTCAATACATAAAGGATGGATAACGTAATCCTGGCAGGTGATGGGAATGTCTAAGTCCGGAAGAAGTACAATTGGATGGTAGATTTGGAGTCGATCCTCAGCGTACGGATAATGGGGAACGACTGCTTCAGTTGTGTGCTGGCTGTGTTATCAACAACACCATGGACAGAAAGGTAGGAATAAGAATCAAATCACTTAGGGAACGAGCAGAACGGATCGAGAAGTCACCGCATTAGAATTCTACAAATAGGAATGTTCAACGGCGACGCACAGACATGATAGTGCAACGCAACTACGATAAGTCATTAGACTACGAAGAAACAGCGAAAAGAAACGGAAAGTATCTGACGCTTACGACTTACTTTCACATGTGCCGGGTGTTGCAAAGTAACCGTGGAGGTGTACGACTCGCTTAGTGGTGGAAACCCAACACCTAGCTGAACGATAACCGCACCCGAAGCAGTCTTCCGGACGACGACGGATTCGTTGCACCATGGGACAAACTCGCGATACTTGCCCACGTCCGCGGCTATGTTAAACATCTGTTGTTGGGAGTAGCTGAAATGTGGCAAGAAGGTCAAGCAGAGATAATAGTTACAGGTGAGTAAATACGCATAGATATTCTTCAGCCGAACGTGATGCACAAAGAGCGCCTCATGACAGAGCTGGCGTGGTTCGTGCAGTCGAATCAACGCCCCAACTGGAAAACAAGCTGTTTCGTTGGCTTGTCGCAGTCCAACAGAGTAAACGAACAGATAAACCGGACAGGGAGACTATTGGCGGCAGTCAACCAAAATCGATCCTCTGAAGATGATGGGGTGGTAAGCACGGCTTTGAAACACCTGGGCGTAGTCTCACAACACTTTCTATCACTAGATTAATCCCAGATGTTTGGATACGGTGAAGTAGGAAAGAGGTAGAGCTAAAACGTCACTCACCCCAGCAACCGTCGCTCTTTGTACGACATTGATTTGTCTTGCGAATTTCCCAAAGTGAGGAACATCCGGATGTGTGCCCGAAGCGGGTTCATCGACTGCCAGTAGGGTCGGGTGAGGTTGTAAAACATCGGCTGCATTTACTCGAGCTGCGTGGACTAGTTTCCGTACAGTGGTTCTATGAACGGAAGCTGAGTAGTGTCATTATCTTGGCTAAAAGCAGAAAGGGCAAAATTAGTGATGGATCAGACTGACAGATCACGCCGACAGACAAACCTAACGTCCCGACAAGCGTAACACCTACTTTAATTTGCCCATAGTTACCAAAGAATCAGTAAGCTCTAAGGATTTGTAACATATGTCGTTCGGTGTAGAAGAGGCTAGTGGGTTCCCTAACAAGTTTGGCGACCGGTCTTTGCGCTTGTTCTAGCAGACTTTTTTTCAGAGATTCCAAACACGATGAGGGTTTGCAGTGCTTAGTGAAATTAAACTGCAATTACCTTTCCCTTTTGGGAATCTCGGCCACATGAATCCCTTCATTCATTCGAGGAATCGGTACTATCAATGAAGATATGGCCCCAGGTGACGAGATGGCTCGGTGGTTAGAGCGCTAATTCACTGACCGAAAGGCTCGTGGTTTGAACTCGACCAGTCTAACGACTACTCCTGTCTAGGCTTGGGGAACCTGGCAGTATTTCAATCCTCCCTCGTCCTTCTGGTGGCATGGCAGTTGGGTATCGAAAGGGTGCTGCACCTAAAGGTTCCTATATTTTTTACTGGTTGGTACTTACTACGTCCCTCCTGGAGACAGCCAACTAACAAAATAGACAACCCCATAGTGCACCAGCGCCCACATTGCTCTGGTTTCGTAAGCGGCCGGTGAAGGCAAGGACCACCACGCACAACAACACAATTGACCGTTCGTTCTGTCGTATAACAGCTGATCACGTGAGTGTAGTTGTATTGGAAAGGCGTTCATCGGCGATGATGAAAGGAGGCCTTGAAGTAGCACTGCCACTGAGACAAATTACGTTACTCAAGCCCACACAGACTCCATACACTCACACGGTCAGAAATGGGTGAACATAAGGACTGGGTAATATTCAACCTTCCAGGGCATATCCTGTCCAACAACTGCAATTCGAAGCGCCGACTGATCGACCATTGGCATACTTGAAGTTAAGGAACACAAGCTGTGGGTGGCCTGCGCACTTGGCGCTGCTATGACACGCGACGGGTTGTGAAAATGCTGCCGATGCAGGCTCTAAGGGGTCGAAAACCTACCCGTCGCTAACGGTTCGACACTTAGTGTGTCATATCATCGACAGCACATCAGTGTTCAACACCGATGCTTCACTGCCGTATAGTGTGTCATATTCGGACGACGACCCCGGAAGCTCTGTTAAACCGGGAGCCCAGCTGACACCTCTGTGATCACTACATTCAATCCAAGTATTGTGTTTAAGGATGGGCCTTATCATCGACCAATAATAATCCAATAATAATCATTACCAGAGACAGAAACGACTGCGAAGAGACTGGACCATATCGGAGTCCGGCGATTTGTGTCTCTATGACTTACACTGGGAGATACTCTGACCCGTAGTTTCTCATACCAGGTTAGCGTGTGGTAAGAGGTTTGAGGAAGAGCCTCCTGGTCCTCTAGGTTAGGTGTTGGAACATCCACGGAATTATTTCTTAAAACCATCAATAGTTAGACGTTATCAGACATGGTGCAGTTGCGCTCTCAATGGAGCTGGTGCATCCAAGCTATTGCCTACCGTGAATAGCCTCCGCCCTTGAGCTCCACTGACACCCCTGTATTTACGCATCGACTATGTTAGCCAACGCCTCCAGTGCACAGCTATCTACCCAGCTTCCTAAATTGTAAGTGAACTCTGGCAGCTATGGCCACTACACGGTAAGTACGCGGTTCTTACAGCTGATGACTAATTTGAATACTCTTTGCAGGTTCCAGCACTTAAGCTGACCGCTTTAATCGGCCTGCATCAGGCTCAGCTGCAGCTTCTGGTACGTTCTACACTACCATCAACCCGAAAGACCTGTCTGTTTTTGAAACCCAGAAAGTCGATCTACCTGCCTGCCTTTAATGTCCGCATACCGAAGCAAACAGAGTAACAAGCTTGCTTATATACTGGATTCTCTGCAATAATGCATGCTATCTTTTAGAAACCAATATTGTAATTGAGCCGACCGCCCTCTTGCGCTTCCAGCTACTCACCACTGCCGATGCGGAAACCGCTGCAAATGGTATTTCGGGGTGAGTATTGTTTTCAGGCATCGAAGGGGAGCGCTTCCACTTGATTTGATACCCATTGAGAGTCCTCTCTGCGCGATCTTTCAAAGACTCTCGGGTGTGATGTCCACGCTCCCTGTTTGTTGTGGCTGCTTACGCCCCAACGTACTGTAGCCCTGAATCTTCCACGAACAGGTTCTATGATGCTCTAGCCGTCCTTTTACAATGGGATAGAAGCTCAGAAGGAGTCGTGGTCGCTGGGGGCATGAAGGCTCAGGCAGATAGAATAAAGGTCGCTGAGGTCCAATCCGATGGTCGACTCGGGTTGGACACGGGAAGCACGGATATGATAGGGTTTGTCTTAGATGTGTGGAGATCACAGATACCACACTGTCATCTGTTGCCGGTGGTGAGACTCGACCACTGCCCGCTGCTTCTTCTGGAATAATCCCGTATAATCCAACCATGCACCTATCTACTGTTGCTTTTTCATGCGCTTTCCAAGTTCACGAGATCAGGAGAAAATTATCGTGAGCTGTCCAGCTGTGTAACATCCACGATGCCCTTTGTCGAAGATACATGGAGCACAGCTTTACCTTGAAGCGGGATCTCAAACAGCACTTTCGAGGCGGTCGCTTTTCTAGATTTCATCTTCAGAAAACGTGGCGACCAAGAGTGTCCCTTCTAAGTTTTTAGACCTGATAAGGACACTTTATGTCGATTGTCGGGTGAAGAGCAAATTTTTGCTCAAGTTCACCAGGTACTGTGGTGTAAGAAAAGCCGTCCGCTCCCATAGTCCACTTTCAGTCTCGCCGTTTAAGTGTTATATTTAAATTCTATGCAAGTTTCTGGAACGCTGGGGATCCTGATACTCACTCCTGACACTCCGACGAACATTGCGTAAGTAGATGACTTTTATCTTTGATTCGGGTCCCTTACAGCAATTCACCTTAAATGACATAGGTACTTCTATCATATTGTTTGACACGCGCCTCACGTCTGCGGAACGTACAGCGCTCCTACAATACAGAGTGGGATCACGCCCAAACTTCATGGTTGTAGGCCAGTCAATTGACGTGGTAGATAAATTTATTTACCTGGGCAGTTATACAACTTTCGGTGAACTGGTCGGAAACGAGATCACTGCTCAAAATTAGATGGTCAGGGCATGCTTTGTGTCTTGAGTTGTGCTGCTCGTAAATACCGAACATCACGCCAACTGTAATATGCACGCTATGGAAGCACCAGGGGACAGTGATTCTCCGAAGGCAGGTGTTCAAGACAATTTCTGTGGATGGAGATCAGAAACAAAGCTCATGAGCCAAAGCCCAGTAAGCGAGGTTGTATATCACCAATACTTACGTATTAATCAATCAAAATGACAGACACCGTATACTACACTGGCCTCCTTTTTGAAGAACACCGTCCCCGGTGAACCGGCCGGTGCTAGTGGTGTGGTGCGTGAGGCTGATGAGCGTGTGCTGAGGTTGCTGTATTTGGGGCTGCGTCTACCGTGTGTGAGTGAGCAACGTGCTGGCCCTGAGGCCTGTATGCACATATGTAGGGCCAGGGTCTCTGTAGTAGGTCTACCAGTGTGTGGTAACCATCCTGGCGTGGTCACCAATTATGTAATAAGCACGCTATGGAAGCACCAGGGGACAGTGATTCTCCGAAGGCAGGTATTCAGGACAATTTATGTGGATGGAGATAAGAAACGAAGCTCATGAGCCAAAGCTCAGTAAGCAAGGTTGTACATCACCAATACTTGCATATGAATCAATCAAAATGACAGACACCGTATACTACACAACTGAACAGATGAGCCCCGAACTGGCTATAGACCCAAAAGACGGGCACCGTTGTGGGCCAATCAGGATCATGCATTTTTAGCTCCATCCTTCTCATCTTATCACGGACTCCAGCTTGTCCTTTTGCAATATTGGGCGATGCCTGTATAAATGCATCTGCCTTTTGGTTCGCATAGTGAGAGCAGTAGCCAGCTGAGAATAAAGAGAGCTCAGTGATTGACGTAGTGTTTGGTGATTCGTATCTTTCTTTTGCTTCCATTATAACGTTACGTATTTGTCAATTGCATAACCGTTTTTTGTTTGAATACGAAAAACTATAAAAACATGAACTTGTACAATTTCGGGCAACACAAACGTCGTCTTGAATATTGTGTACACACTCTAGCGTTATAATATTTATTTCTAGTGAAGTAGCTTTTTGAGTAGCCAGATCACTGCAGCTTTGGTGAGCTCGAGTATTTCTGAATAGTTTTTTAGCTTTTCCTTCGAAGACGTCGTAGTTTTTTCTTCTGCCGGTCATTGTGGATCCACATCTTGATTCTCTGATTCAGTCGGGAAGACGATTAGCATCCGTTTATCAGACTATGATCCGCGCAATCCCAGGTTGCAGTTTCGCCATTTTCGAGGCTGCTTCACTCCGCAAGCCACCCGATTATCGTCAAGCGTTTTCGTTGTGATGTAGCAACAGAAGTAAATCTGTCAGAAGATATATACAAATAAAATCTTTATGGCGCTTTTCGGGCGCCTGTCATTAGTAAGAAAACAACCATCTCACAACTGTAAACCAGGCTTGCTACCTTGACCTATCGTCTACAACGACTGGAGACCAGTAAGCATCGACCACGTTCACGATCTCGATCGCTGTCTCGTTGCAGTCCCTCTTTATGCTGGTATCATCAATTTTTCGGTCCCAGAACACACCATTACCAGACGCCTTGTTCCTTCAAGCCGTGTTCCTACGGCCCTGTGAACAACCCGGGCGACTATCTGTGGCCCTCCTCGCAGTAGCCGCCGATTACACATCAATGATTGGTTGGTGATCTACGTTTGTATGAGTAACTTATCATCTTGCGGATGCCTCAAGTGGTAACGGGTGACCGTGCCGAGAGAAAGATAATCGGTTCTGTACAGTGGCGTTTGGATTCACAGTGCACCACGAAAAGATGCACGGTTTGAGAGGACAATCAAATGGGCAGGACTTCCTGTAAATATTAGGCAACCCAGCTGGCCATTCCGCGTTTCGAGTCAGCTTGAAAAGC